GGCCGAAGCAGCCCGCCAACGTGAGGGAATCGACAAGAGCTGGCTTCGCACAATGACTCCCGCGTTTTCAGGCAGCGCTCCTCCAGTATAGCGAGACACAGAGTTGACCACGGTCTTCATCGTCTTTAGAATGTCGTCGCTAATCGCTTTTATCCGCCCTGCGATGGTGCGCGCCGCCTCTTCCTTGTCGCGAGGCAGGCCTTCTATTGGCTTATCTTCCGCCGGTTGGGCGATATCGACCTTGTCCTCCTCTTCTTGCTCGTCAGAATTCGTCATTTGCTCATACTCATCCAAAAGCATGCGTAACGCTCGCATGAGGTTAGTCACATGAGCTATGCCGTTGCGCAGGAGACCTAAGCAAAACTTCAAGCTACGCAGAGACCCCTCGCTCAAAGCGGCGCCCAAACCGGACGTGGTGATCATAAGTTGAGTCGACCAGCTGTGGTCACGGCGAAGTTGGCCTGGTCGGCTGGGTTCGCAGGTTGGTTCCGACACAACCAAAGAATTCATTTCTTCGTACTTGGGCGAGCTGTTCTCGTCGTACGCAGGAAGTGTCTCAGCGAACGACCCTTGAGATTCCGCCCGCGACCGAAATCCCCGTGACGATGGCGTCCTGAGACCCTTTTCCACGTCCATCTCATCGCTCGTAGAACTCATCACCCTCCTCCTCTTATTTCCATGGCCACTTTCTCGTTCCTCCGATTCGGCACGTCCTGAGTCACTAGGGCCGCGGTCGCCAAGATAACGGCGTAGACTCCCCTCGACACCTGTACGCCTGCCCATGGAACCGACCGTATTCGCGACAGGAGACCCAATGTTTCTCTCAACAAATTCTGCACCGTACTGGATGAAACGGGGAGAGTAATGTTTTGTCGATGTATACGCATTCAAAGAGCCATTGATGGTACCCCCAAGCCAGGGATGGCTCGACGTAAGAAGGGATAATAGTGGTTCGGGCTCCTGTGAGATTTCATCGACAGACCTTGAAGCACTCGCTCCTGGAGAGGCCGGCAAAGTGGCACTCCGGTTACTGGGAGAGCGAATGAAATCTGCACCACAGAGGACGTCAGCACTACTCTTATCTAAGGCCCAGACGGAGAACGAACCGGGGTTCCCCAGCCCTGACAGCGCTTCTGCTGCCATTCGCACGTCCGGGTCGTCCATCGACACGACGCTCGGGGCACGCATACTCCGATCATCGGCGCTAACCACGCTCTCGGCGCGCGGACTAGTCATGTCAAGGTCTGGCTGAGAGGCAAGTAGCGAAGCAGGAGGGAGCGGGCCATTCCTCAGCGAAGCGGAGGGCATCCACGGTGTATCCGTCGACTGCGCATCCTGGTAGGCGCGGGCCTGGAGGGCGTCGGGCAGCCCTAACGACCTCAGCTCCGGCAGGCTGACGGACGACGCGGAACCAGATGCGGCGGGGAGCTCATGGCGCGGCACGGAGGGCAACCGTAGAGATTCGGGATCGTGGTACAGCGAGCTGGGGTAGGCGGGCGGACGCTCCTGCGGCGGGAGCTCCATGGACAGCCGGCGATGTCGAAACGTGCGGCGCTAGGGTAGCGGAACGTCGGCGGCAGGAGGTGGCGGTAGGCGGAGAGGGGAAGGCAAAGGCTAGCTAGAAGCGCAGACAGTCACGACAGCAATGCGGACGCAGCATGGAGACTCGAGCGCGATGCAGCGCATGGGACGATAATGAGGAGGATACGGGCGGGCGTGGTGGGAGGAGGATGTTAATGGGGAGACGGGGGACGGCCATCCGTCTGTCACATGCAAGAAGCGGAGCGGGCGGCGCTTGGCAGCCGGCCGTTGCTCGGCAAATGGTGCTGCCGTGCCCGCTTATCGCGCACGTGCCTGCCACGCCGCCGCCTCTCACATGCCGGCGCGCCGCCTGCCGCCCACCGCGACAACGAGGACGACGGCGCTCCGCGATGGCCGCCAACAGCCTCGCCTCGTCCGCCCAGCTCGCCTCGTCCGCCTCCCAGCTCGACGGCGTCCCGCACCATCTCGAAACTTCGCTCGTCTTCGCGGGCTCCGCGCTGGCCCAGGCTGCGGGTGTCCTGCTACGGCTTCCTCAGGAGATCATCGCCCAAGCCATCGTCATCTTCGCCAGAGTCTGGGTCGGCTCCGAAGGCGCCAGCCTCAAGGAGCACAGCGCCAAGGTACGTGCCCCATGCTTTCTCCTGCTTCTCCGGCCGGTTCTATGCGCGCCGTGAGGGTTTCTCTAACCAGCGCGCAGCATGTGTCCGCCGCGTGTCTCTACCTCGCGGCAAAGCTTTCGGCGCATTCGAGATTGCCTCGAGCCGTTCTCAACGTCTATGCCTTCCTCGACGCGTTACCGCCGACGTCTCTATTCGACGATGCAGCCGCCCTCGATGATCCTGGGCCGAAAGCTTACTATCTCACCGAAGGGGACTACCACGCCCGCCGCTCCCTCATGATGAAGCTGGAGGCCATTGTGCTTCGCATCCTTGGATTCAACACCCATGTGGCGCTCCCTTACACACTGTGCATTAACTACCTCCAGGCAGTCGAAGCTTTCGCCCAGCCGCAGGGCAGCGCTGTTGCCAAGCGTGCCTTTGCACACCTAAACTCGTCTTTAATGAACCCCCAACGCCTGTACCTAACCCACCAGCCCCACTCCCTAGCGACCGCGGCAATATATTTAGCCGCAAGAGAAGTCGGCTTAAAACTACCCGGAGATGAGTGGTGGGAGGTGTTTGATACCGACCGCGAAGAGCTAGGCTTTCTTGTAGTCGCAATGATCAGTATGGGAGGGTTCGTCGAGCAAGAAAAGAGGCGTTGGGAGAAGTCACGCCCTCCACTAACTGTTGACCAGCTGGACCGGGAGCTGGAACGGTTGGGAGCGATGGACGACGGCGAATAGGAGAAGCGAACTGAAGCTTTGCACTCTGTGAGCGCCCTGCCTCTTTGTCGCGCAGCAGCGCATAATTCAGGGATAACCAAGCCTTCCATTGCATTTGTTTGCCGAAACGAGGCCTATGCCTCTAGCCACGACATGGAACGTTGACACTCACACATGTCTGCAACGCAAGATGTTCGCAAAGTTTTGCAAACGAACGAATATCTTCTCAAAGTATTATAGTGATGATCTTCAAGAACCACACGACAAGCCAGGTAAACAAGGCATTTTTTCCTGGGACGTAAAGGTTCCATGGTCGGCTTAGTTATATTTCTTCATTTCATTGGCATGTGTTAGTGCTTGAGTAAATAAGTCTGTGCCGCTTTTGCTTATTTCGCACCATCACGCTCAAGATTCTATTGTTTGTCTTAGACCTACCTTTACAACTAAATCTTCGGGGTTAGCCCACTTTTGCGTCAAGGCAGCTATTCTTTAGTCCGAGGACCAATTTGATCTCTTTTTCGGTGGAGTTTAGCCGACATGCCGCAGGAGTGTAACAAATATTCGGACTTTGTGGAGCACACTCGGAGCTACAGGTGGACAACGAGGCGTACCCCATCGCCACAAGTCTCTAATTCCCGACCGAGCTTGCGGGATAAGTACAAGGCGTATCCTCTAAACACGAGGCAACACAAAAGCTTCTCAGAGTGCTGTCATTTTGCTGTGTCTTCCTCGCCGTACCAGCAAAGCAGGCTAGATGTCGATATGCCTCGCCGAGATTGTCGAGGTCAACAGCGTATTGACGTGAAAGTAGTGAGAAGTTCCTACAGGCATGTACCTATGACCCCGGAACACGGGTATTACTATCCTAATCCGGCCGTGGTGAGGAATTTCTCTGGGCATGTCCTTGAGAACCCCCGACCAGGGATATTGCTATCCTACCGTGAATGTAGGGAGGAATTCCTCGAGGTATATACCCGCGATCGTCGACCACGGATATTACTATACTGACGGGCAAAAGGAGATTTCACGAGATCGTTGCCATGTATATCCTGAAGGTGTCCAATGCGAGCGAGCGCGGCGATCCGAGAAAGGAGTCTGGGAATCGGGACCTCTGTCCGGCCACCCGGGCTCACACATGCCAGAATCAAATACTCCACGCCAGCCATCTTCATATACTCGACGTCCAAAGCCCACCAGGCGCTATCAGCATTGGCCATCTAAGGTAGATGAATCGGTACATAGCAGGGAACCGGATTCTAGGAAGCTACCAGACCGCCGCCACAACGGAGCTAGTTTGGCAGAAAGCATCGACTGGGTCGGCAGGCTCCACGGTATTGAGGGCCAGAGAGTCGAGGAGATTAGGAGCAACGTATCCAGTGCATCGAAATCTCGGCTAGCTTGCCCCCGCGAGGCAAATGTGGGCGAAAGCGCGTTTTCTGAGGTGCCACAAAGCCTTCATACTACGCCGACTTGTCGGACCATCTCGGATTCCCAACACGGTACGAATCCTCGGCCTAGATTATCGAAGCGGTTCGTACCTATCGGCGGGAGCTACCTAAAGCAGATTCTCAGAAAGGCAATTACTAGGTCAATACTACGGGAGAAATGTCCATTTGAAGCGCACTAGTTACAAGGGTCGACGCAACCGCGAAACGTGAACGCGAGGCCGCGGGACCAATTCAGCTACAGGCGATCGTCGAACCAGTATAACGGCTCACCGCCAGGACAGCCTTCTCCCTTGGAAATGCCAGCTTCTGCCACCGCTGGGATATCAGGCACGCCCCCATTAAGGATTCGTGTATAGCTAGCAATTTCTCATGCATTCCCATAAGGATACCTTGATGGGCAATTATGGTAGTTTAAGTTAATATGATAAATATGAACCCAAATTTACACTATTCAGGATAAGTGCAATCTAGTGAATTATCTTGTTCACGCCAACTGGTGTCGCAATATTTAAGACTACCTACCAATATATGTTCATTTGTGTGTGTGAGCCGGTGATACTTAGTTTCCTAAACTATGAGATTAAAGCCAGAAGAATAGACTAATCTAGAAAGTTATAGCCTTTTTCTCATCCCTAATTTTATTATAAATATGTATTTAATAGGTTAGTATACTACTTTGAGCTGTGGGTCTGATGGCCTAATGGTAAGGCGTTGCTTTCCGGTGGCAAAGATTGTGGGTTCGAGTCCCATTCAGATCGCTCATGTATCTTCTTTTGCATTTCTTTTATTTTCTTCATATCTAGTCTATTTCATTTTCTTTCCATCTGTATCAAATGAATGTTATTTTGGAGCGAAACTCTTTTTCAGCCTGAGCAAAACCTCGCCTAGAGGGTACGTCTCTCAGCACGTCCGACTTCGGAAGGCCACCGAATACAGATGCCGAAGCAAAGCGCATGCCAAGCCTTGTTGTAGACAAATAAAGTTCAGATTGGACCGAGTTGTCGGAACGCGGTATTCCTACGCTCTTCTGTCTAAACATCGTCTTGCACAGCGGACTGGGGGCAATTGATGAATCACAGTGAGGGTCTACGTCATCAATAACCATGCTGCGTCTTTTGCACTCACGGTATAAATCTTAGAGGTATCCGACGGCACTGGAAATATATTTCCTAACACGTTCAGACTTCATCGGTCGACGTTCCAGATTATCACGCCACTCAATGCAATACGACAGCACCTACCAAGATGTGCAACATTGAGATTTCCTGCGAGACAAAGTCATAGTGAACGGTATAGCGTTATACCAAAAACTAAAGCAGTTAGGACGGTGTATCAGCAGGAATACCCAGCTCCCTCTGCAGTCAGATATCTATCAGGTTGTGCCCCAGCTGCGTCGAATGACAAGCTACTTCAAATACTTTCGAGACGCGATGGAGGTATTGCAACGATGTAAGATGCAGTAGCCAACAATGATTTCTATACCGAGCTTACAATGCAGCAGACCGAATCTATGGTTACGGTACGATTATATTCAGCGCACCATTCTCTACTGTCTCTAACACCACATAGCGACCACTGCCAGTGTTCTTCTTGCGTCCATGAAGTCACCAAGCAAAGATTACTGGACACGTTTGAGGTATCTTTAGCAGCCATCATGCCAAAGCACCTGCACTAACTTTGGAACAGATACCAAGAGACATAACGATGCAGTCACTTTCAGAAACCCAAGAGGGCTTCAATGTCAAGTGTTGGTGTTGACGTCAAAGGCGATATGATAATACTTTCATTCTTACATAATGTTTAGGGAGCGATGGACATGACAGCTACTATCCGAAAAACTGGCTGAATAAATTTGCGCGGGGAGATAGTTCGAGGGAACGGCAGGGAATTAACAAGTAATCAAGCAAACCCAAGCTCTTCGTCCCTTGCTCAGATAGATGGTCTGACTTGCTATTAGAGCATCTCTTTGGACTTCTTCAATTGCGGAAAGCCTTCCGAAGGTATATTTCAAGGACGTGATGGACACGGATCAAGGAGTCGGGCAATGGCTTTTGAACTTGGTAAGTGTTTTAGTCCTTTGGATTGAAGGAATCCTAAGGGGCAGTTTTAGAGAATCTATGGCTTTTGTTTCGTCGAAGGCTGTCCCCCAACTCCGCAGGATACGGAAAGGCTTTTGAAACGCATTGCTTTCATTCGACAGACACACTATGGTTAGTCTCTGTTTTCTCTATTGAATCAACGATTGATGCTTAGACTTGCGGATTAGGTGGGTTTTGGGACTTCACTTCGGATCTCGCATCCAAAGACACGGCGTACACCCAAATCAGCCTGGAAGCGCATACTGATACAACGTACTTCTCTGATCCGGCCGGCCTGCAACTTTTCCATCTGTTATCCCATACGCACGGTAGCGGCGGGGCTTCACTTCTCGTGGACGGATTTAAGGCTGCCCAGACTCTAAAACAAGAGGATCCAAAAGCATATGATATGCTGTCCACAATACGGTTATACTCGCACGCAAGCGGCAACGAGGATACTAGTCTTCAACCGTATCAATCGTTTCCCGTACTCAACCACGATGTTGGCACCGGAGAGTTGATACAAGTTCGCTGGAACAACTCAGACCGGGCGGCGATTGACGCGCCCTTTTCCGAAGTGCAAAACTGGTACAACGCAGCCGAGTAAGAAACCAGAAGCTACCCCAAAGATGAATGTCTGTAACACAACTTACTGTGTAGGAAATGGGTGCAAATCTTGAGAGACCCTTCAATGGAATACTGGGAGCAACTGAAACCAGGAATGCCGTTAAGTATGGAAAGCTCGAGTCAATAGTTTTGCTAAGGTCTGACGAAAAGCAGTTTTCGACAACTGGAGGGTTCTTCATGGCAGGTCATCATTTACGGGCAAAAGGAGACTCTGTGGGGGTTACAGTAAGTTCAATTCGTCTACATTCTCGAAGATCATTACTAATGAAGGTGATGCACTTTAGTTAACCGAGATGACTATATTTCCCGCTTCAAAATGACAAACTTAGGGAGGGCCGCTGTCCTGGAATCCGTAATTGGGTGACCTTCTGGGGTTAGTCTGCTCAGCTGAGTCATCGATGCTGGAGGTAGCATTGATTTCGAACCAATTCAGTCCACGGTGACTCCTTCCTCCTAAATGCGATGGGTCTTCTCCGTGCTCTCTACAACAATGGAAAAGTGGCTGGCTCTGCATATTATCTTGGGCATGAAGGCGTAATGAATTAATTTGTTTAAACATTGGCGCCATGGCTACGTTAATTCGGCCGCAATTCTGGAGAATGCCAGAAGAGGTCTAGATGATGTCTCTTGTATGAAGACTGTTTGTGGTTAGCGTGCGGTCCACAAGAGGCGAAAAGAATCATAGTTTGGCCTTAGCGGGAGACTGTTCGTCACGGACCACTCTTCTCTGTCAGGCCATTCAAAGGAATAGCAAGCTATCTGCTACCTTGTGAACAGCACCCGCACATGGTGGGTGGGCATCAACATGATGGACTCTATGGCGTTTTGCGTATTTAATTTTACCGGGTTGTATAGAATATCTGTATTCTTATTGCAGGTTAGCGCAGAGTTTTGAAACCACAGCACACAAGCACGTGCGAGCGCTTGCGCCCTCGGCCCCCTTCGACTTCCAGCTCCGGAGCAGTGTAATGGCGACGTGGAGCCCTCGCGTTCCACCATGAGGCCGTCACTTGGGCGCTTCGGATACCCCAAAAGCGTGCGCGGTTATGCCGTACAAGCCCCGGGAGCGCCCACTCTTGACGTGTTCAGCCGGCGGACTAAGTGGCTGCAAAAGGAGCGTGCGGCGCGAGATGCCGAGACTAGCAGGAAAGTCGACTACGTTCGCGACGAAGTGGCGGCGCGTCTATGCGAGCGTCTTCTCGTACGTCGAAACACCATCTGGCGTCATTTTGAGCGCTGCTAGCCATGCCATTCGTCTAACTCCCGCTTCCCAGGACATCAAGCGCCACTTCCCGCATGTTCTTGACCTAGGCGCGAATGCGTGCAACATTGCGCGCATCCTCACTCGCCCCAACCCTGACAGTTATTCCGCCGCTCCTGTGTACGAGCCGTTGTCTAGCCGTGTTTCTGCCCTGACCGCCGCAGAATCTTCGCGCTCGCTGCTCCACCGGGACGAGGATCTCCCCTTCAACAACGAGATAGCCATCACACGCCATCTACTTGCTAGCGACGAGACGCTGCCGTTTGCGCCGCACACGTTCGATGCCGTTCTCAGCTCGTGTAGCCTCCATTGGGTCAATGACCTTCCTTCTGTCTTGACTCAAGTAAACAACATCCTCAAGCCTGATGCGCCCTTCATGGCGGCTATGCTCGGCGGCGACAGCCTGTTTGAGTTGCGTACCTCGCTACAGTTGGCTGAGATGGAGCGTCGGGGTGGTATCGGTATTCACATGTCACCACTTGCCGACGTTCGTGATGTTGGGGGGCTTCTGCAACGTGCCGGGTTTAGGCTTCTCACGGTGGACGTTGACGACATTGTTGTTGATTATCCTGACAGCTTCGCCCTGATGGCGGACCTTCAAGCTATGGGAGAGTCGAATGCTTTGGCTGGGCGCGATGTGCCTCCTATTCGACGCGATGTTCTCGTAGCTGCAGATGCCATTTATCGAGCTTTGCACGGGAATGATGATGGGACGCTGCCTGCAACCTTCAGGCTTATATATATGATAGGTTGGAAGGAGGCCCCTCAGCAAGCGAAACCATTGGAGAGGGGTAGTGGGATGGTGAGTATCAAGGATGTCTTGGAAGGCCAGAGGACAGGCGGCAAGAGTGGTAATCGCTAAATCGATTAGGGTAGTGGATCCTTAAATATTTAAAAATGGGCATACATCAGAAAAGTTGGTTTTGCAACCTTTGCCTCTAATCACTCGTCTTTAGCCCAAGTTTCGTACATGATCACTTCGTCCCAAACGCCCGAAGTTAGGAGAGGGTTGTGTTTTCCCTGTTCTTGTTCTCTCGGCGTCCTTGATGTCAACCTCTTTGCTTGGTGCCAAAGCAGAGCCTCCCGCCCTGTGGTCTGCCAGCTTTTATTTCTTGTCCTTTAGGGAGTTGCTCCGCACCACACGATTTCTCGTTGCATCTTCGGGTTCCGTTGCACTTTCGGTTTCTGCCCCATCTCTTTCTTTCCACAGAACACAAATCTCCCGATCAAGCTTGCAGTTCTCGTCGCCAGTGTACCAACCTGCACGTATCAGGTGCTCCTCGGCCTCACTCCAAGTGCGAAGCCTATCATAGAGATCATCTCGTGCGGCCCGAAGCTCATGGTCCACTAATTTGGGGTTGTCTAATGCCTTCACCGTCTCCACGAGAACAGCCGAGTTTCGCTCACAGTAATGGTCGACAAGCAATCCATGAGACTTGAAGTCCAAGTCAGCGAGCTTGGCTTCCGGTTCGACATGTTCCCCTCCGACGGACGCTATGTCAAATCTTATGAGGAGAGAGCAATCTCGAAGTGTCATCGAAATGAGTATATCACTAACGTCTTCGCACTTCCTAGTCCGGCTCAATGGGTGGCTGAGTCGCATCTGTAGGTTCTTCAATTTTTGTAAAAGCCGATCGTTAGTTCGTTCATATTGAATGAATGAGGAAAGCATCTTCGTCAGATGATCTAGTTGCGCAGGATCTAACTCGTGATAGTAGGCCTGTGCTCGGACAATGCTTTCAGCGAGAGTATGAGCGCTTGGGCCTTTTGAATCCACAAGGGCCAAAGGGCA